GTATCATATGCACGTCGTTTAGCATCATTTTTTTTCGAATCCCATACATAAGCCAACATGAGATGACCATCAAGTAAAAGTGAAAAATACCATTGTTTCTTAGTACCAATTTTTCTTTCTCGAGCAGTTTCAGTAATTGATATTAATGGTGGAATATTAAGAATCGATGTTATTCGAGAATATTCTTCACCAACACGAATACCATATGAACCAAATCGATGTTGCAGTGTACGAATTTGTGTCAAGAAAGGACGTTGATCAACACGTCGAACACTATTTGCAAAGAGAGAAGCAAAAAAATAAGTAATTTTTTTTCAATAAAATTAATCTACTAAATTACCTTCCTTCTTCTTCATCTGTTACATCAGAAATGGCTCCTAATTGAGAAGCATGATCAACTGGTGCACATCGCGGACGATTTTCATGTTGATAATCGTCTATGCCACTAGTAGTTGTTGGACTAAATGTTTCAATATTATTTGGTATATTTGTCTAAATATATTTCAAAAAAAATTTAACATAAAAAATAAATTATTACTCTTACAGATAAATAATGTTGATTCAAACGACAATCATCAAATCTTATTTGTTCAAGAGTATTCTACAATAAATTAAAATTTAAAGCCAACAGTAAATTATTGAATTCATTTAACTTACAGTAAGATTTTGAATTATTGATGATGATGGATATTGACGAGTCATCGCTGGATGACCAACTGATGGTGTCGATTCTAAAATTCGGATCCAAAATGTGTAGAGTGCATGCTGGCCACCGAATACAAAGAAAAACGAGAAAAACAGTACCTCATATTCTTGGGGTGTCTATGCTATTTCGATTAGAAAATTTCACTGAAAGTATCAAAGTACGATTCAATCCGTCTGTATCCAAAAAACGTTCAATAAATAGAGTGCGGATCCAAAAATTTTGGACTCCATGGGCTCTTGTTAGAACCTTGCAAAAAATCAATTTGGAACTCAACTAATTCTTTTTTGCTGAAAAGTCAGTTTTAACACATGGGTTTTTTCAGTAATAGGTTTTGTTCTCTAATATTTACTGTACCAACTGATGAATTTTAGAGACTCTAACGATGTCTTATCAACACCTACAGATAAGAAAAAAAGTTAGAGTGAAATTCAACCTGTAACTTAATTTTAATGCCCAGGTCCTTCGATAAGACATTGCTGAAACCTTCGATATGAATCAATTTGTATGGCAAATAACAGTGAAAAAAACCTACTATTCAAAAAGATTCATATGTTAAAACTAAACTTTTGGCAACAGATTTAATTGACTACGAAGAGGACTCTATTAGGAATTTATTCACTTACGGATTGAACTTGATCCGAATGCAGTTGGTGCAACAGATTGAAGTATATCATTTAAATTGAGTGGATCATTACAAATAGATGGACCTTAAGTTATAATTATTTTAAAAAATAAATATATTAATATAGAGAAAAAAAGCACGGCAGTACCATCAGATAGTGACATTGAATTCCATTTATTATTAACATATTGTGATACTGGTGGTATAATAAGACGTGAATCATTTAATGATGGTGGTTGAACTAATCGAGGTGGTGTTCCAATCGATGATGACATGTCTATATAAGAAACTAATTTAATTAAACTAAATATTTAAATTTACTTTGATGTAATATAAGATTAACATGATACATTTCACATTGTGTTAATGAACCTATCATGGATTTTTGCATATAAGTTGCTGCTAGATGACGAATTATTGGTGATTCATGTCTATTAAATAAATTGAAATAAAAAGAAAAATCAATTATAGAATATAAAATTTACGTTATCGACAATGTTAATTTCGATGATAATTTGACGACTGGTGATTCACATGAAAGTGTTACCATACATCGATATTGTTGTCGAAGACATCGAATAAAATAAGCCTAAAATTAATACCAATTATATAAATTTGATTAAATGAAATTTAATTTTACCAAATTTTCAAAAATATAATTGGGTACATTATATCCTTTAATACCATCAAATACATATCCAATAATTACTGTCGTTTGATACTAAAAGAAAAGAAAATATGTGAATGAAATAATACAAAGTTTTAAAATATGATGAATTACTCCTTGATCGATAATACTCCAATTTCCTTGTCCACTAGTATTTTCATCACATTCTCGTTCTCTTGATAAATATGTTGTTACACATCGTTTAAATGCTTTTAAAAAATTAAACAATTTTATTTTTCTGTTAAACATATTGAAAAAAAATCTTTACTTTCAAATGAAAATGCATCTTGTGTTGTAACATTTAAATGAAGAGGTCGTTTATGATCAAGCAATTGTCGTAATTCTGGCGGAATATAAGTACCATCAAGACGAATTGATACGACACAGTGCTGATCAATCTATAATTGAATTTATTATTTTATTTTCTATTTCAATTTAACTATACTAACATAATCAAGAGCTTTAGCAGATAATAATTTGTATTTGTCCTTGTCCGACAGACTATTGATATCATACTACATAGCAGAAAATAAAATGTAAACAAATAAAAATGAGAAAAAAAATTACAGTATGTGTTTCTCTCAATGACATCGACGACGGAATTTCTCCGGATGCACGATGTGAGGAGTTTATCGAATGCATTACTAGTAAAAGATTTATAATAATAATAATAATAATAAATAATTATTATTTTCAAAAATAAAGTGTTCACTCTGATCGAGACTGGAATTGTAGGAGATGGTAATGATGCAAATAAGATTTTGCTTTTGGAAGATCTCTTTTCACAATTAAAGAGCAACAATAAACCGTTAGACTGAATAAGCACAGACAACTCGTCACCGCCGCTGGGGGTGATCGAGCGTCGATTTAAAGGTAAAAATGATGAAATAACGGCAAGCACACCCGAATAACGAGAGAGGGGGAGAGAGAAGACCATTTAGTTAGAAAAAAGACGACCGCTCCGCAGCTGAATATGTGCACTCGTCATAGAAGGAATAAATATTATCCAGGGATTGATTATGTATCTATTCTGTATCTGTTCTCGTTTATTCTATTTCATCGAGAAAATTTGAAGCAGTGACAGCACGAGTGCATTTATATAATAATAGAAAAACATCCAGGTTAAATATTTAGAATCATTTGAATAAGTGATACACAGTTCATCATATAGGGGAAAGGAAAGGACAAAAGATCTCTTATATAGTCTATAACTATAACATATATACCTCGATATGACCAACCAATGAATGATAAAATTCAAATTTCTTACAGTTTATTATTCATGAATAATTTATAGATTTCTTTCGTTCATTTTAGAAAAATTAGTCGAATACCAATAATGACTAAGGAAGAAAACGACATCAGTCATTTGCACTGAATGTATCAAAATATGATGACCTTTTCGAGTTCATACGATTAATACACATAATTAAATCTCTTTACAATAAAGATATCAATCAATTTTATAAATAAAAAACATTCAAAATCAATTTGAATTGATTTATTTTTAATGTATTTAATATTAAATATTTTTTTGGAGGTCATCTATAAAGGAGATTTGGGTAAAGGCAGATGGAGGGCGAGGTCAAAAAGAAATTCTGAGTGTCCAAATACTTACTAGAAATATTCTCTCATTTTTTTTTCGTACAAAGTTCGGCAAAATTTGTAAGGTTAGTTTGTTTTAAAGAGCATTTTTAAATCGGAAATGAACTGAATGTTAATCAATGGAATATGAATAAATTCGAAATAGTTCAATATTATGCTATATGAGCAGATAGTTATTTTGTGAAGTAACGTTAGTTATATGAGATTTTTGAGTACCATTGGTATTGAATTTCATTATTTGTTTTTACTATCTTCGGCTCATTAAAATCGAATGTATTTGAAAAAACAAAAACCTTGCCATAGACTTGATTTTTGCTTGTTGTTTATAAAAAGTATGTTCATTCATTTCTGTTTTTGATATATTGATTTAATAAAAAGGAGCAATATATTTCAACAAGCAGACTTTTTCTGAAGGTTTTTTTGTTTATACTGGACATCAGAGCCCATTAAGATGGTTCAGGACTCGGATCCAGTTTGGTGCAAGTTTGAAATATTCCTATTAACCAGGTCCGAAAATTTTAGGCCCGACGAACTGCATAGGACGTTCAAGAAAGGGAAAAAGCACAAACAAATGTAATTTTTATCTGAACATCATTTATGGATGACCCCTGGGATCATTTATTGTTACGCTTCTGCTACAAAAAGTATATATTCATTGATAAATGGGGTCGCAATCACTTTACCGAAAATAGCTTTGCCGACGCATCACTTTGCCGACAAATTGTTTTGCCGACATGTACACTTTGTCGACAATTTATTTCGCCGACAAAAAATTGAAGTCAAAAATAAATTTAAATTTATTGTGGATACAGTGATATATATGTCAGCGTTCATACTTGAATGCGTCCAATCTCGGATTGGTCTAGGCCAATGTCACATTGGACGTACTATTTTCAGGCGAATCTTATATTGCCTAGGCTAGTCCGAGATTGGACGTATATGCGGGCATGAACGTGATATATATACATAAAGAGATAAAAGAATCCAGAATTGAAAATGTTATTGCTGACCGTGGCAATGGATCAACTATGGATTTTCTTCAGAGCATTGCCCATAATCTTTCACTTTGAGTATTTGTAATTTTGATTAAAAGAATTTAAAAAACTCAAGAAAATAAAGAATTTTCTAAAAAAAAAAATGAATCAGTTTTTATTAATATTACCAAATTTTGTCTGTAAAACAAGTTGTCGACAAAGTGTACATGTCGGCAAAACAATTTGTCGGCAAAGTTATTTTCGGCAAAGTGATACGGATCCGATAAATTTTTAATAAGAACACAAAATTTTAATGAATATTAAATATAAAACCTAATACGAAATTTTTTTGTAAATCAACATCTTCAAAATATCATTGAGATTGAGTTGAGTTTATAAAAAAAAATATTTTGTCAAGAATAGATATTATTTGGTGGCAGTTGTATTAATCGATTCGGTAGTTTTATTACCAGTTTGAGATCGAGAAAGAGCAGCAAGTACTGTTAGTTTAGTGCCTAAGCGTTTGAATGTATTTGGTGCTTTACCATGTTCTGTTGTTATTATTTTTGATATTCTTGCTTTAGGTCTCAAATGTGGATCGAATAAATTGAAAATACTATGAACATTTGTTTTAGAATTTTCACATTGCGAAACAAGTTTTGTTGTCGTTATATTTCGCGAACTGGAAGATTTTCTTAGAGTATTTATACGTGGATAACGTTGATTTATATATTGAATAAGACATGTTAAATCTGATGATAAATTTTTTTTATCAAGCATTTTTAAAATTGATGAACGAGTTAATCCTGAACGATCTTGTACAGCTTGTGGGAAAATATTTTCAAAAAAATTCATATAAGAATGATGGTGAATAGTTTGATGTGGAGATTCTGATCGAGGAGGAAGAGTTTTATGAAGTTGTATATGTAAACGAGTTGACTCACGAGTCAAACAAGAATCTTTGGAATATAAACGACTAAAAATAATTCAATTCAATCAATTTATTATTTATTTAATTAAAAACAGACTTATTTTGAATTGTCTTATAAAATTCTTTATGTTTTGTATCGATTTCAATATAATCTAGCATATTTGTTAATTGAATATAATCTCGAACAAATGGTGATGCATCTGTTTTAGTCAATAAAGTCAAAACAAAATCATATCGTCCGCAAAACATCGCTAGAAATATAAATAAAAATATGAATATTTTATAAGAATTGTTTTTAAATTTTACCAAAGAGTAATGGTGTAAATCCAAAAACATTTCTCTCATCAATATCAATACCAAATTTAATAAAATTTTCAATTAAAATATCCATAATTGTCGAATCATCTTTTCCATAAATAACGGCATAATGAAGAATTGTATTGCCTTGTCGATCTTTCGATCGAAGATTAAGATCTAATGATGTTTCATTTAATAAAAAATCAAATAGTTTATAACGTTGATAACGAAGTGTATACATAAGAACATTACAACCAAATTCATCGCATACATTTGGTGAATAATGATAACGCGATGAAAATAAAAGTTTCATTGTTTGATATGCATAATCTTCATCAGGATAAATACATAATTGTATAAGTACTGGTATTGGATGTAAATTTTTTGATTGTGTTGAAGATGCTGTTGATGAGGAATGAGAACTTTTAGAACCTGTACTACATGACAATCGTCTTGTTCCTATATGTGAATTTGTCAACGGACGTAAACATGGCAAATTTGGATTAATATCTGGTAGATTCATATAATAAATCTTGACAATAATTTTTACCTAGTTACTCAGTACGAATATTGTTTTATTATGTTCTTATTACGTTTTTTATGATCTAATTTTCTTTTAAGAACCAAGTTAAATGTAACTTTTAATGAACTCTTGTTGATACATAAACACCGTCAATTTGCTATTGCTCGTTGTTTCTAGTGCTAGAAAAAACTTGTTATTTGATGTGAATTTCTTTTTCTTCTTATTATATTTCTCGTCGTTCGCTTGTTGTTCGTTAAAATCGCATATAGACATGGAAAGGAAAAGAGATTTTCAAGTGTTGATTAATTTTTAAACATGTCAATCCATTGAGTATTACTTCTGTTGTCGTCGAATGTAAATAAAAAATGTGCATAATGCATTAGTTTTCTTTCTCACTTGAAATTTCGCGACGGGATATTTAAAATGAAAAAAAAAAATAAAAATAAAAATAAAAGTAAAAATAAAAATATACATTGACTCAATCGATTTGCAATGTTTTTAAATATGACCAAACAACTCTTTTTTCATTCATGAAAACAAAATCAGCTTATGTTATAAAGAAGCATTACAACTGAAATATGTTTGTCTACTGATGTTGAATGTTTGCCTATAATAAGTCCTAGATGTTTGTTTAATTCACAACCACAAACTAATGTAATACACTTTTAACTAACGTTATCTTGATAGAAATTTTCATCATTTTCAGTTTTTTAAATCGAACAGAAGTTTATACTTGTTTTCAATCGAAATATTCGCTCAATAGAGTAAAAAAGATCGAACGCTTCTAAACTGTAAATAAAAAACGAATAAACTGGGAAAGTTAATTCATTTAGATTAAAGTATACCTTGGTATTAAATATAAAATATTTTCAAGTTTTATTTCTTTTTAATCAATACTCAATTTATAGGGTAAAACTTTTTTAATTAACAAAAACATTTGTTCTCTCAACAAGCATTTGAAATAGAGCCTATCATTTATTAATATAATAGAATCAGTATGACACATGAATAACTCATTAAACAAAACCGTTCAATAAAATATCATCATTATAAACTTTTTTTCATTGGATATATTTTATCTTTCATGATGACCTCATATTTATAGAAGATCATATCGATTTTTTGTGTTTGAAAAAGAAAAGCTATTAGAACAATTCCAGTAGAATTAGAATGTAAGATAAGATGTAGTTGCTGTTGTTAATCACAGGGAGATTGTTTTATTCGTTCTATTTTGAGACACATATCCTCAATATCCTTTTACATGATCTTCTAGAAATGCAACAAGCAAGTAGTTCGTATATTATAACGAGAATTTTTTTTTAATGCAATCTGCAATTGTATAGCAATGACACCTGTTACGGTCTGTGTTGAAGGAAAGACGTTATTAAGGATGTCTGTCACGTCTATGATCAACCGTGTCTATGACGTCTGCAATGACTCATTGCTAAGATGTCGGTTACGTCTGTGGGCGGAGGTTCCAATTTCTACCCTTATATTTTAATACTTCTTTTTTAGATTGTGTTTTCACAAAAACTAACATGTCAATATCAGATAAAAAAAGTAAAAAAAAGACAAATGGTCATTATTGGATGATTTATGTCTTTATTGAAAAATGTTTGGTTTTATAAGTTCTGTTGAAACTGTAACAACACGCACGCACACACGCACACACGGCAAAATAGGAAAAAAAGACAAATAAACGCAAAAGTCAGATAAGAAGATTCGAGTGTTGTAGGCATAGAATAAAAAAAAAAGAGTTATTTACAAATAAGTCTCTATGAGAAATAAAGAAAATCCCCAAATAAATGAAAACAAAAAGAGGAAAGAAAAAAATATTTTCATTCTCAATCAATAATTTCCACGTAGTTCGATGGAAGTAAACCTTGTTGACCTGTTTTAGGATTTCGACCTAACATCCAACCAGCATCAATATTTTCACATTGAACAAGAATATCACCTTCATTAAAACTAATTTCATCCGATTCAGCTGCATTATATGAATACAGTGCACGAACTTTCATCTAAATATTTGTTAAAAAACATATAAATTTTTGTTTTCTTTTTTTTTTCGAGATAAATAATTAACCTGTGTTGATCCAGTATCATCAGGTGAATGTTGTTTATGTTGATCATCATGATGAATATTATTTGATGAAATTTCTTGTTCATTTTCATATTGATTATGTGAACTTCTATTTCCATGTCCACTACTATTATTATTATCAAATTTTGAGTTTAATTGGGCAGCTATATTTTTTTGATTCACATCATATGCTATAATAAATAAATTAAAATATTTTCTTTACAATTTCTGAAATATCAATACATAAAAACCTAGAAAGTTTTTAATGCTATTCTTTCTATTGAAAAATGAAGATGTCATCTGTATCTAAATTGTCGTTATAAATAATATAATGAAATCTATTGAATCTGAATATAACATGTTCCGAGACGTGCGAGATCAAGTTTTTTTATTCCGATTTAGAGAAAACTATTCGAGATTTTCTTCGTATCACATCTAAAAAACGATGTCTTCAATACTTGTGATTTTATTTATTTAGTCGGCGACTAGAATTTTTTAAGTTATTTCTCTCGAGTTATGCTCTCATTCATATGTCTTGTACGATAATTCTCTTAAAACTATAGAATATCTAACAATAAGCTTCAGTTCAGATTGGAACAACTTTTTTCTTGTAGTCCTGGTCCCGTACATCTCTATATAGGCTACATATTAGAAGTACGAATACGAAAAAAAAAGAAGTTGACTTCGATGACAGAAAAGATTAATCATAGACTACTTTCTTTTCATGAACTCATCGCTAGATAAACGATTTATATAACTAGAACATAAACTGGTTCTACAATTTTGTTAAAGACATGACATTTGATAAATTTTAAATATTATCTTATCTGATGACACATGTATCATATTTGTTAAAATACGATATACTTACTAGTAGAATGGATTGGTTTCGCTGTTGGTTCATAACCTCTTGCTAATGAGCCACGATTATCATTCATCGGATCATAATCAGCCACTAAAAATATCCAATAGAAAAACAAAGAACAACAGATAAGATGAACTGACCACGACCCACTGCTGATTCAGATGTTTTCAAACCTCGATTGTTAGTATTATTTCCACTGGGTTGTTGAGAATTATCTTCAAAACAGAAAACAAAGGTTTATAACTACAAAATATTTAATAATAAATTTAGAAACCTTGAGCAAGCATTTGTGATGTACTATCTTTTCGTTTGCCTGTATATTCTGCTTGACTAACCATACGTTGCTGTTCTTTAGCTCGTATTAGGGCTGGATCATCAGCTACAACAGTAAATTTTCCTTTACTTTTATTAAAATCTTCATGATATTTGGCCTACAGAAAAAAAAACAGAGATTCATTCATAAAATATTTCAATTTTTCAAAATAAAGTTTAATACATTGCTTTGAATATCCGTAAGTAACCTAATACGTTGCATTTCTGGATTATCGGCCACAACAGTTGGCTTGGGTTGTGGATAATGTCTAAAAGAATGTTTTTTTTTCGATTAATAATTATTAATTATTTTAACTTCATACGCATTGCAATATGGCATTCTGTCATATCCTTTAGCATTTTTGACATTAAGTGTCATTCCACATGCTGTACATTTTAAACATCCTTTATGCCAAAACTAAAAAAAAACAATATAATATTTAATTACTATTAAATAAAGATATTTTTTCACTAGCAGGGAAAGAAATTCAGTTCTTCTAAACGATACACACAGATCCTCATTCACACAGAATGTTTTACATTGTAGAATCAAGTCAATTTGTATATAACTAGAGCAATAAGCGAATAGAGTGTATGTATCATATAGAAGAACGAGAAATTCATGCATTATTTTTCCATTGAAAACTGATTGGCAAATATAAAAACGTACGGACAATGGATGATTATATTAAATTACCTTTTTGTCTAATGACAAAAATAAACAATGATTAATTTAGAGCTGAAGAAGAAAAGAAAAAGAATAAAATGAAAAACTTACTTTATCAAGGCATTTGATTTCTTCGGCTGGATAAACAATTTTTTCACATTTACCACACTTTTTATTTTGTCCAGTTGACATTTTTGTTTTTGTTTTTGTTTTTGAACTTAAAAAAAGGGAAAAGATAAAATCTGAAGAGTAGAAAAAAAAATAATCTTCTTTATTGCTTGAAGCGAAACACTGACAAATAACAGAGCAGAATAGATCTTTTTTTTTTCCTTCATGCTTTTGATTAACCAATGAAAATAAGCATGCAATTTTTCTTATTTATTCTCGTTACTCAATTCATTTTAGTCTTAATTAAAATTTAAATAAAACGAGGTAAAAGAGCAAGCATAAAAAAAGAATAAATTATTGTTTGTACCATCTGAGATATGATTCGTAAATCATTCGACCAATGAATATTCTTTTCTTTTTGAAGCATGTAGAAAATTATTAGAATTATAACATGTTGAACAGATCGAATGATAAAGACGTCTAAGATCTATAAGAATATATATATTTTACATCAAATATATTGTATTATTAATAAATGTAAAGATTGAAAAACAATCATGTAGTAAAAAAAATGTAGTTTTGGTCTATTGCTAGATTTGTCTCAATATTTAGGTTTATCTAGTAAATTATTATTATTTTCAATTTTTGTGAAAAGTTTTCAATAGATTTAGTACACTCTGCATGATAATTTTTGGACTATTTGTCAATCAATCACTGAGTGGCGTAGCCGAGAATTTTTGGTTTGTGAACAATTTACCAGCTAACCTATTCTGAGGAGAGGGAAGCGATGAGCAGTATTCCCTATTTTTTTAAAATCTATGAACAATTGCCTAATGGTCCATGACTGAATGCGCCGCTGTAATCATCTATAATTAGAAATTTGAAAAAACAAATTTGTATCTTAGATAATTATGAAAATCCTCATCTTCAACATACATGCATAACATGCTCACCAACTTCATTGTTGCATGTCAGTTTAAAATATTAATTTATTGTCTTGTCAATGGTACTTCTTTTTGATTGGTAATGACCCTATTGCATATCTATTAATTATAATACACTTTAATTCATAAAATTTCGAATAAGTTATATCATTTTCAGTAAGAAATATAGGAATATGTATCAATTGATCTTATTCAAATAAAGTTTTCATTTTAGATTATAAGAGAATAATTATATGAATTTTTGCACATATATTTTACTATTCATTTGAAGAGAGATCATGGCAAATCTACAAAATAATTACTAACTTTTATTAACTCTGATTGCTGATTTCTAACGAACATAATCTATGACAAATAACACAAAGCAAATATTGGAGATAAAAAGTGAGAAATGTTATTTCGCTTATACTAGCATTTTCTCGGTTACAGTGACAACGATTATTCGTTTCACACTAGTGAAGTACTAATTCGAGATTTGCTACTTCTTGTTTAAAGATACAGTTTTCTATAGATAGAGGATTGTTTCGTTAAAAGAGAGCATTTTTAATGTATTCTGCTTGAGAAGTTGTTTATTTTAAGTACCATTTTTCATTTTCAAGATATGTTTTCTAATATTGTAAAACGATTTTCGTCAACAATACATCATTGTCGATTTGCCTCATCATCATCATTGTCGTCTTTGTCAACTAATTTTTCATATCGACAATATTTAGTTTCTGATCTATCTAATATAAATCTAATTGACAGATCAGTATCTCTTCATGGATGGTTGCAATATCGTCGCATGAATTCATTTGGAGTTCTTCGTGATCATTCAGGTCTTATTCAATTTATTCTTCCATCATCAATGCAAGAAGAACGTCAGATTTTAAAGCAAACACCTGTTGAATCATGTGTACATATTAAAGGAATAGTTAAAAAACGACCTGAAAGAGATATTAATACAGACATGGCATTAGGTCATCTTGAAGTAAGTTTAATCAAATTTAAAATGAAAATATAAAATTAAATTTAGATTCATGTAACGGATTTCAAAGTAATAAATGCTTGTTTACCTGTATTACCAATCGATGTATCAAAATATCATGAATCAGATGAGTCAACACGTTTAATGTATCGTTATTTAGATTTTCGTCGTGATATAATGCAAGAACGTATTCGTTTTCGTTCAGCATTTATTGCAAAAGTACGAGAATTTTTATTAAAACATTCATTTGTTGATATTGAAACTCCATCATTATTTCGACGTACACCTGGTGGTGCACGAGAATTTATTGTTCCGACTCACTTACAAGAGGGTGGACTTTTTTATGCATTAACACAAAGTCCACAACAATTTAAACAACTTTTAATGATGGGAGGATTTGATCGATATTTTCAAATAGCAAAATGTTTTCGAGATGAAACAGGTTTTTATCTTCTATTTTAAAATTGAATTATGTGTAAAAATGTTTTTTTTACACAATATATTCTGTCATTGGAGAGGACTAAAAGTAGTCAATTAGAGTTAGTTTTTCATAAACATTTGTTTAGATTGTTTTTCCTGATTTGTAAGACTATTTTACTATGATATTTAAAAAATAGTGCTTTTATCAAAGCACAATGTTTCTCCAAAGTTCTTTGACTGAAATTTAAGAATGCTTTAGACTCTCTATCATTATTCTTCTTTACTTAAGACGGTGTTTTACTAATACAAAAGCGCTTACTTTTAAATGCCGATGTGTACAATGCACTACAATTGGGTCCTTTATAATGATATATCAATCGAGGAGCAAATTCAAGATTTTATGCAACAAATTTTTCTCTGCAAACTCATCTATATAGAGACTTGCTTATAGGTCGCATATGGAATAGCATGGATACCGCAGTACTGATTTTTACAGTTGACTTTTGGCAATTGTCGAAAGTCCACTGTGAAATTCGTGTTTCTCTCTCATTGAAGCGATTTTAAGAAAAATAAGAAAGTCTGTAGACTCTGCTGAGCGAATCCAACCAATGATTATAATTGAATCTGACGAGAAATAGAAAAATCTGGCATTGAATTTCTGTATTGAAGTATAATCATCGTGATTTAGTCTTCAAACGAAAAACTATTATGAACAAATATACAGAAAAAAAACACAAAGTTCGATATAAAAATGACTATATTTTGATCATCTTGAATGTCTGAATTTGTTGTGTAAAAAGTATTTATACGAAGATTAATTATGTAATTTTTGTTTTAGGACGTCCTGATCGACAACCTGAATTTACTCAAATTGATTTAGAATTAAGTTTTGTTTCACGTGAAAATATATTTTCTTTAGTTGAACAACTTTTAGTTGCATGTTGGCCTGATAAACTTGAAAAAGTTCCATTTCCTCGTTTAACTTTTACCGAATGCATGTCACGTTATGGAACTGATAAACCTGATACACGTTTTGGTCTTGAAATTGAACATAATGCAGAACAACTTTCAATAACAAGTCCTATTCCTTTAAATGATATTCAAGATATAATCGATGATAATGATATACAATATGATAATAATAATAGAAAATTTCTATTAAATAAAACAGATAATGAAGATGAATGTTTAATTAAAATGGGAAGATTACGTTTAAAATTAGCTGATGTACTTGAAAAACAACATAAAATTGAATTAAGAAAAAGACGTCAATGGAATTTTCTATGGGTAACTGATTTTCCATTATTTACACCAATGGCAGATGATCGAACAAAATTTGAATCAACTCATCATCCATTTACAGCACCAATTGATGAACATTTATCACTTTTATCATCAAAAAAAGATTGGTCACGTATTATAGGTCAACATTATGATCTTGTTTTAAATGGTTTTGAAGTTGCTGGTGGTTCAATTAGAATTTATGATTCATATATACAACGTTTTATTCTTCATGATGTTCTTAATTTACCAATCGAACATTTAGAACATTTATTAAAAGCACTTGAATATGGTGCACCACCACATGGTGGTATTGCACTTGGATTAGATCGTTTACTTGCTTTAGTACTTGAAACAGAACATATTCGAGATGTTATAGCTTTTCCAAAAACAAGTAATGGAAAAGATCTTATGGCTCAGGCACCTAGTCCAGTTGAACAATCAGAATTAGATTATTACTTTTTACAAATAAATAAAAAAAAACATAGCTGAACGATAAACAACATTTCTAATTAGGTTAATAAATTACTTCGTTTTTTTGTTTTAGATATTTTATTTTAAATTTATTTTCAAATATAATTCAAGCAATAAATCGATCCAAATAAAAAATTGGATTACTTTATGCTAGAAAAAATTAGAAAAGAACTCTGAAAAAGTTCTTCGTTGTTTTTAAAGACTGACATCATGTTCTTTTTTTTTTATAGATGTTTTTTTATTGTAATAATGTATTTCTCTTAATTTTTTGAGGCATGGCATGATTGAATTATGCTTAATTTGTATTTGATGTGTTGATTTAATATTGAATGATGTATATTTGTCTGAGAAAAACCTCAATTGTTGTACATTATACATGTAAGATAAATATATTTCACTAAATATTCTTGTTGTGAATAGGTCATCATCAATTCTATATATCGTTCACTGAAGATAATTTATTGTGCATTTCATCGTGAAATACGGATTTTGTGGAACACATATATTTTCAAAGAGAATAGTGAGAGTAAGTTTAAATCAATGTTTTTGCGGTTCCTGCTCCCCTAGGTCCTAGCAACAGAAAAAAGAGTGCCAATAATAACTGTGCTTAGATCATTCTGGAACTTTCTAGAATCTTCTAAAGCATTTTATGAATATAAGATTTCTACTGTAGATTCTAACTAGTCTAAATATTGGAAGTTTTGATATTTCATACAGCGAAAGGATCTTATTGTAGGGAATATTCTTGATCTATCATAGTTAGAATAGAACAGGCATAGAGCAGTAGGAAATAATTGAATTCTAAATGTAGGCAAAACTCAACAGTATATGTCAAAAGTTTGTTGAGAGAAAGGATGCTGTGCTCAAAGGCTTACTCAACGATTAAATCAATATGTATGGCAGGCTAATATGGTGATCGCACCGACGAAACGAAGAATAAAACGATATTTGCCATTTCCTATAGCATGTATCGTATATATCATCATTAGGAGAAAAAGAAGTTATGTATCGAAAATGTATTTCATCATACAAATAATTTGTTTTTTCAGTAGAACGATGTCAGATGAATCTAATAAATAGATAGAATAGGAATTGCAAATGCAAACATTTTCGAAATGATAAAATTTCAGAGCTCACCTATCAAAAATAAAAATTGTTATCATTTTTATTTATTTATGTATTTAGTATTTTTTAAAATAAATTATTGAAATCTCTCTGACAATATAATATAAATTTATGCCAGTCAGAATTTATGAGTTCTACACTTTCGTCCCTCATGGGATCTTGATGATAACCTTTTCTTTTTAAAATAAAATTGAATTGAAGGTTCAATGAAAAAGAACGATATAGAATATTTCAAATGACTTATACAAACAGTTTATAGAATATCCAAAATTAATATGAAGTATCAGAGTTTAAAGGAATTCTTAAATAATATTGTTATGTGTTAAATTTAATTCAACGATCATTTCGTTCATCTGAAAGCTATTCTATTTTTTATTTATTTTTAATTTGTTTTTATTGGTAAATTAAAGTTAGTTTTTATTAATACGAATAAAATACTTAATGATATATGTTAGTAAAAAAAATTCAAACTTCTGTCCTAACAGTTTATTTTGTTTATTAATATAATCAAGTATTTGGTCGTCGTTCAAATATTTGATCTAATTGAATAGCTTGATTATAACTCTTAATTCGTCCTTTTTCAGCTTCCTTGATTAATGCTTGAATATCTGGTCGAGACAATAATTCTTTATAAGCCTTATAAGATGGTGTAAGACCACGTAAATTAAGTGTAATCTTATTTGATTTTTTCAAATCACCATAAGATTTATCCATCATTTCAATTAATCTCTTTTTATTCAATAATTCCATACCCGTTTTATCTTCTCGACCGTCTTCAGCAGCTAATTCTTCAGGTGAATACATATTAAAAATAGAAAGAAGAAGATGAGTAACATAATAAAAAACAAATCGTTCACCAAATTGAAATCCTATAATAATGAACAATATTTTCTTAGAAAATAAAAACAGCATTTGTTTATTTTACCATTTTCAAAATTCGGCAAGACAAATGGATGAGAATGTGCATCAATGTTTACAACAGATAATTGTTGATGAGTATCAATTTTAAGTATGGCTGCAGTATTATCATATGTATCACAATAATTTGGTGCTGAAAATAGTGAAATAAGTACAGGAAATTTAGTACGAGATGATTTGCGAAAAAATCGTACACCATTTTTCTGTACTTCATGTCCACGTATAATCGATAAAAGATTATTTCGCAGTAAAAAATCTCGACAGGCATAATAGGAAAAGTAATATGCACAGCCACGAGCTTTATTTGGTTTAAAAGCAGGTTGTTGATCATTAATATCATCAAAATCTTCACTTGGATCAGACCAAAGTAAATCACATAATGGACCTGAATGAGGCGTTTCGATGAAACGATCAAGATTTTCAATGTCAGATAAAATACGAATATCAGGTGATAAACCACCATGCATGCATAGAAAACGTGAATCAACCAGAGCACATAATGGTAATGTGTCGAAAGCATGCATACAAGCTTTGTACAATGTCTTTGAACTATATTTTTTTTCACATTCCAACTTAAATTGGAAAGCTTTTGTCATTTGACGAGTTTCATGATTTCTTTGAAACAAAACAAGTGAAAAATTTTGGCTTTTGGTAACAATAGTATATACACAAAGAAACCTAACTCGAGTGAGCAATCTGTGCAACTTCTCGATATCAAACAAGATATTTGACACTAGCTTTTCCTATTTTAAACTTCTATTACATATTTATCCCGTGTCAACTGTACAATATCAACAAATGTTGAACAGTCATTTAGTAACGAGCAAGTATATTATCGAATGCAGTAGATGATAGTTTTTTTTGTTGTTTTTCAACGACGAAAATGAAATTTAAAAAAATACTCAATAAATCAAATCCTACTATCGGAATTTTAAAAGAAGACCGGTGGAAAAAAAGCTTATAACTTTCGAACAAAAAGTCAAAGCGACCTGCGGTTTTCACCATTCGAAAGAGCAAAGCGGGGTACGTGAACCTATGTAAAAGTCGATCTCTTAAACAAGGCATATGTTTGTCACTTTTTAACAATTTGTCGAAAGTAGCTAACATAAGCTTCAAATTTCAAAACTTCCAATCTCCTTTTTCTCATAAGGAATCCTTTTCTTTCAAACAAGATAACTTCAACATTTTATCTTGTTGAGTTCCAGTGATACAGAGGCACCGTCTACTGTATATCTGATGTTGGAATCAGTTATATTCCGAGGTTAAATATCAAAAATGGATATATTCACTGCAATTTTGTGCCAAATTTGAAAATCCAGGTAACAGGTACTTTTATGAATTGACCCATAGATTTTTACATAGGTTCACGTGCCCTACTTTGCTCTTTCAAATGGTGAAAACCGCAGGTCGCTTTGGCTTTTCGTTGAAAAATTATAAGCTTTTTTTCCACCGGTCTTCTTTTAAAATTCCGATAGTAGTAAGCCTTATTACAAAGAAAGATTTGAACATCAAATCATGCTGCGTATAGAAGTTGTGTAGATCAAGAAAGACTGTGTCACACAAAGTTGATTGATATCCGACACTAACACATAGTCGACATTTTTGGCTATATGCTTTCTGGCATTTTTCTTCGCAAACCTATTTGGTAAGACTTTTTTGTGCGTGTTTTAAACCGTAAGTTAAATGGTTATCTTTGTTTTTCTTAGTTCTCTATATAAATCATTTACACGTAGCCCTTCATTCACTTCTACAAGATATTTCGTTACTGGATTACTTTTCGATTTATAAATATTTTAAGAATCTCAGGAATGAAATTATAGTAGAAGTATATCAATTGAAAAAATAAGACACTAGAAACTGATGTAGTCTTAAGAATTTTGCCCAAAAAGATTTGAAAATCAACAGTCTAGAGAGAATAAAGAATTCAAGAGTTGAATTCCTAATTAGTGCACTACAAATGTCCTTTTTTTTCTCATTACAACAATTACAGAAATGTCTTTTTCTTTTAAATTTTTAAATAACTATGGATGATTAAATTCATGTTGTGAAATTTAGTTTCGGAAAACGAAAAAAAATCATACCCTCGAAGTAAATTTACATTTTGTGGATAATTAATTTTGAGTGCAAATAATAAAAATACACATTCACATTCAAATAGTCCTCGATCAACATAATCACCTAAGAATAAGTAGCGTGTTTCAGCTGGATCACCACCACCTGCTAATACTGTTAAAAGATCATAAAATTGTCCATGGATATCAGCGACAATCGTTACGGGTCGTTCAATAAATAACATATTAGGTTCACGTTCGAATATTTGATGCGCAAGTTCAATAAGACGTAAAGCACATCTTTCGTCGAGGCGACCTTCTTCTTGTAAATGTTGTTTTAAAATAGGAATAGATGGCAAACCAGAAGATGAATTAAATAACTGGTCTTCAGTTAATAGACGAGCTCGGGGATACGGAACCGACTTTATTCGACGATCAGGAGGAGAATTATCCATTAATCAACAAGTAAATATTATTGATATGATTGATCACAATATAAAGTACAATACGTGTTTTTACGATGTAATCTAATGTGCAAAACGACGATAAATGCACATGTATATTTGATCTATATTATGATTGTTCTGTCCTCTTCTATCATAAAAAACGACTCCGTTCTTTTTTTCTTTTTACTTTCCTGCTCTATTTTTTGAATGTATGCAAAAGAATGACATCGTCGTTTTTTTTTGCCTCTTACGCACAGGTGGTGCAAATGAATGAAAGAAACAAGCTCGATTGTTCTACTACTTATTGGTTTGATCAAAATTGAGAATAATGACAACTATATTGAAGGCTAGCTGAGTTAAATTCTTGCAGCAACAGTAATCAAAATCATCAGCCTTCAAGGGCTTCAAATGGTATGAAGAAACGTCAGAGTGGCTATGGTAAACAAACAGTATACCATAGAAAACAGCCCTATACAAATTTTACCAATTTTTTAAAAATTAACATCATTGTATTTTGTTTTTAACTAGAGAAGCTTGATGTGTGGATTAATAAGAATAAAATACACATATATTATGAAAATGTTGACTTTATCTATTTTTATCATTGATTCTGTTTTACTTTATTTTTTGTATGTTTGCTACATTTTTGAAAAAATTCTTCCATTATATTTTCTTTTGTCACTATAAAATCAAAATTTTCTCGTCACATTCAAAGTTTGGCAATACGACGGGAACTTATTCAATGAGAAAAAGTCTTTCAGAAAGTTGTTTTGATAATATTGCAAGAAAAGAAAACATTTGAAAAGACGAGGAAGTTATTTATCTATAATAAATCTTGAATAACTGCTGTTCTAGGTCTTGTCTTTAGAAAAATGAATATAAGTGGTATTTTGTTTGACACGTTTTTTTAGTTTGATTTCGAGACTTGTAGTCATTAAGCCATTGCAAAGAGGCATTCTTTCATCAACTTCGAAATCTACCAAAAGACAAATTTCCGTATTCAAACTTTAGCTAGAGTGTGAGTGTGAAGGCTTAGTCTTCTCGTCACTCACATCATGCCGACGAGATCTGCGGGAATGAAACCCTACGCTCAATGAGTTATTCGCAAGGCAATTCGTTGCAAGATGAGAAAAAAAGAACAATGCTCACAATAGAAATGATTTTGTTTGACTACGCATGAAATATTACCAACAAATACATTTCACAGCGTTATTACATTGTATGAGTATCATGCAGTGACCAAAAGGACAGAATCTGGGTGTGTGAGTGTGGGTGGTGTGTGGCTGTAACTGCGAAGTGTTGTTATGAGTGTTGCCCTGTACTCTGCTTCCATATCCATAAGGTAAATATGCTCAAAGTTATATTCATTTAAACCAACTCTCACTTTTAACGAGTCGAGCTATGATTGTATGCCATCATATTGTTTATGTCGTGAAAATTGTTACGATATAAACATTCAAAATAATATCATTAATCGAAATGTTTAGATTAAATATTCTTGATGGAAGAATATAAATGTTTATGCAAACAAAAAAGAGCAATATGAATCGATTGAACAATGTGCTGAATTATTATCTTCCACAGTGGAATCATTTTTATTACACTTTTACATTGAATGTCAACAAAATAATTTTTTTGAGGAATTGAAACCAAATACGAATAGTAATAAGATTGTTACTCAAGGTGATTATAGTAAAAACCTTGAATTAAAAGAACAAGATGCAATTTAATATGTCCATTGGTATTGGAAATCAGTCTCCATCTTTATAGCTTATGCCTGGCGTGGTACAGATAATTATTATTCATTTGCATTAGTATCAATCAATATTAGTCATGACAGCTTATGTGTTAATAGTTGTATTATTTATATCGGCAACAAATTGAAGCAACGATTACCATTATTAGCAGAATTCCGATTTTTTTCCTTATGGTGCAGCCAGTCAATTTAAACAACGATATTATTTCAAAATTTATCACGCGCGTCAGATGCGTACAAGCTGATTCTTTCGTGGCACTTTTTGTAACCAGTCACTCCAAGGGCATGATGGATGGTATTTGTGGAATTGTAAAAAAATCCTGTTTTGGGTAACAAATATCAACCAAGAAATCAAAATGTGACAATGCAACTGATTTAGCTAGTATTGCAAAGAGAAAAACCAAAGTCACCACAAAAAGATGTTGACAAATCTATAACACAATTGCAACAATTATTTCAAAATACTGGGTTTTGTTTAATACATCCGGAAGTTACATAGCATTATTGTCTCACAAGAAGATATTATCGGATGTCAATTATAGGAGTATTCGACTGACAATTGAACAGTCTTGTTTAAAATTTATAATAGTCAGAAAAAAAATGATAAACTATATAATATCATTGCTTGTGTTGCATTTCAGTGGAAGAACTTATAGATTTTTTGAAAATACACAAAAATGAAATGATATCATGTGTTTTCAATCTAAAAGAAATTTACAAGCACTAGCCACAAAAAAAATGTGGAACCAATCTTAGCGTATTACAACAATATTCATACTATCAGTTCTTAGGAGAATAAAAAATTTCAAAACTATTGTTTCAAATACATACAGAGCCCTAATTGTCCTCTATGAATTGTAGTGGAATCGATATATGTACAACATAATTATTCGTGAAAATTTTAGAAGTTCTCAAATCACTTGAACAAAGCAGGGCCTTTGTGGAGTACGTTACGGACATTTCGTTTTAGTATAAAAAGTGAGACATAAGCATTAAAGTATTCTACTACAGGCACATTTACCCTAGTCTTCAAAGCTTTACGATTTGTTGTTACAAATTAAATTGAAGAGAAAGTTAATAAATTGTGAGTGTGTTATCTGCGAGCAAGCCGTCTAGCAATTACAGTTCTTGTAAACAAGTGTCTATAGAATCCTTGAGCTGATGTCATGAAGCCGAAAAGGGTAGAGTGTAAGCGTGAGTGAAGACACGACCATCATTTTCATCCACGTTCATACTTACATAGACAGTTATGTTCACACTCATCAGAGATGGAACCAGTACCGGTAACCGGCCGGTCCGATCCAGTACCGATCTGAATTTTGCATCGACCGGTCTACCGGTATATACCGGTCTGACTGGTCTAAACCGTCCTATATCGGTCTATATTTTTCATTTTCCTTCTTTATGATGATATTCATATAAAAAAACAACTGACATCAAGACTAGTCCCACTGATCACACAGGAATTTATTTAAAAAACAGTTTTCAGAATCCCATCTGTGAGACTATTGTTATCAATGGTGAAGCATTATACCAGTATGCGTGAAAGTACAAGGGTAGCCCGCAACAGAGCTCACTATGAAACAAGGTTTCATTTCAAGCCTCAGCCTGTTGTGTGTAGATCGATATTTTGTCGGTAGGTCCGATTTTCTTTTTTGCACTGACGTATCATCAGCATCCTGTTTAGTACCGGTAGGCTAGTTTTGACCAGCAGACCGGTCAGATCAACTTTTTCCGGTAAACCGGTTTGGACCGGTCGGATCGGTTTTTACTGGCAGACCGGTTCCATCTCTAGCCGAAGATACATTAAAAAGAAGTTTCACTGTAAGAATCGACCCAGGCCAAACAAGCAAACGATAAGAACTTACATGATCCTACATCTGATCTTGCATGATCTTGTAGGAACATACAAAAAATCGTACGAAAATCGTGGCCTCAGAATTCTTACATCAAGTCGTACCTTAAGATTCTTGACAGATCTTGCTGCTCTGTAAGATATTACTGTAAGATTATAGAAAATCTTGTACCACAATAAGATTTTATAAGAATCTTATAGTGCGATTTGATGTAAGATTTCTGAGACCACGATTTTTTGTACGATTTCACCTGATCGTACAAGACTTGATGTCTGATTTTTTTACCTGGGGATGTATTATTGGTAAGCCAGTTTTACCGGTATAGACTGGCTTCAACCGATAGACCGGTTTTGTCGGTGTAGACTGGTTTTACCGATAGACCGATAAAACCGGCCTACCGACCGGTCTGATTTGGTTGGACCGGTACCGGTACCAATCTGAAAAAAACTAAACCGGTTCCATCTATGACACCCATAATCATCCTAGTTCAGGACTTCAGAGATTAAACTCGGGACTAAAAAGGTTGCTTCATTCATTTATAGACGATTTAATTTTATATCATTATGTAAATATCTACATGAAATTTTGACTTTTGCAATGGTCATTCTCAAATTCTTGAACTTGTTGTTTCCCATTGATTTTTGCAAATACTAAAGGGTGGTCCATAAGATTTGATCCCTCTTTGTAAATTGACGTTATCTATATGAATACATATATAGATACTTGATTGAAATATACAGTTTGGTAGAGAATGAGAAGAGCTATCATCTGAAAAAAAATGGTTGAAATTGCATCGTAGTTATGAAAAGTTATGATCATTTTATTCATGATGACTAAGCATTTAACACGTTGCGTTTTTGCAAAAGCAAAAAAAATTCTTTAATGTTTGAGTCATTTAAGTCGAGTGAAACATTGTTTTTTACTATATATATTCATATGATTCGATAGTGTTCGACAAGCTCTACAAGAATATGAATATCAAAACTAATTCTGATGCTGTTTCCAATACAAAATTTGGAGGAAACCAGAAAGACTAATAAAAATCTCACATATCTTGGATTAAAGAGTATGCTTGTCTTTCGATAACTCTAGCTGATCGACTGCTAATTTAAATTTCGAGATGCAGCGTCACATACTGAAGCTGAAAATAACCTTTTCGAGCTTCATGAGCAGACGAACAGTCGATCAGCCGACGTTATTGAAAGTTCAGCATACTCCCTCTAATGCGAGATATATGAAATTTTTATTACTCTTTCGAATTTCCTTCAAGTTTTGTATTGGAAACAACATCAGAATTTTTTTTGATATTCGTATTCTTGTAGAGCTCGTCGAGCTCTATCGAACCATATAAAAATACCTAGAAAACGATATTTTCCTTCAGGCGTTAGAAGCATATT